TGCTGCATGTGACGTTTTCAGTTAGAAGGCGGATTTATGGCAGTGTTTTATGTTTTGTTTTCGTCTTTATAGAAAATGCAAAGAAAATAGTATGACCAGGAACACATTAGTAACAAAAAACTTTGATATGATGAACTGAGCAGAAAAACAGAAGAAATAAAAAACAGTCACAAACTAACTGAGGAAAGTTAGTTTATGACTTTGTCTTTGACGGTTCTTAACATTTTGTAACATTTTGTAATTGTAACAAAATGTTACAATTACAAGACAAATTTCAAATCTTAAATTAAGCTATTAACATATTGGTATAAAGATTGGGCTTTTGTGATTTTATTTAATCACTCTCTTAAATAAAATCTTAAATAAAATTATTTCACTTTAATAAGAGGGGTGATTTATGGAAAGCAGTTGTGAATAAAACTTAGCCAGAGAATTAAATTGTTAATATCACAATTTAAATCTTAATCCCCTGCCAGCATACCACATTTTATTATAATAAAATATAATTATGGAATAGATTTTTTGTGTGTGTAATATCCGCTTTTGAAAATCCTTCTAAAACCATTAATGAAGTTGCAACAGAATGAATGTGTATTGTCTTAAAATTGCTGTCACAAAATACACAGGAATTGATATTTTATTTATTTTGAATTTCTTATGTAGAAAGTCACTACAGGGAAAATTTCATATAATTATGAAGTTTTTTGTAGGAATGGAGTAGAAAGCTATTTAGCTCTTATTTTCTTTAGAGATATTATGATGATTTTTAAACAAATGTTTTCTTCTTATAGAGGGGACGAAAATTGATGTCAGAGTTCCTGATGAATGTCTTTTAACATTTTTGGTCTATAAAGTCACAACATTCTTAATTTCTTTTAAAAAGGACATTTAAGTTCCATTAGTTCTTTTGTCTTTCTACAATGTAGCATCATACCTTTTTCCCTATTTTTTTATATATGCCGTATGTTTGTCCGCTTGATCTTTGTTAACACATTACCTCCACTTTATATGAAACTAACTTTTAGATGCATCAAAAATCATGTCTCTAATCACAGACTGTTAAATTGATTATTGGTACATTTTAACGTGTATTCTATACCATCTTGGAAATATGGCAAAGTTCATTAAGCAAGTTGTCTGTTGCAAAAAAGAAGAGAATAAAATCACTTTTCAAAAGTAAAGTATTGAAATATTTTTAGTTTCACTCTATTGAACATGTGTAATTACATAGAATTTTCCTGTATTCAACAAGTCATAACAAAACACATTTGAACAGCCAAATATCTAAAGTGATGACTTTGGAAAGCAAAAATACCTTAACTGTACATTTAAAATATTTTATTGTTGTTGTAGTTGTGTTTTTTGGCAGCACAAATGCCTAAACAGTGACCAGTCCCGCCATTTTGGATGTCGACACAGGGGCGTACTGTCCCAATTCTCCCATTTTTGCACGCTTGTAACTTGCGCACTTGAACCCTTATGTGCTCTTCAACTGAATCCACACTTCACAGAGGGGCCTAGGGTGCGCACTGAGAATTGGGACTGGCCCATGATTAGCTACAACACACTGGACGTACTGGGAGCCATGGTAACCAAGCCACGCTAAATAGGCATACAACACGCTCATAAAAGCTCCTTTAAGTTCTTTAAAAGAAGTTTGAATGTCCCGGAAGGCACTTAAAGTGTTAGCTGAAATAAAGCTCAGAGCGGTAAGAAAGAATTTATCTTTCACATTGTGTTTCTATGGGAACAAACAGGACGTTCACGGGCAGTTCTACTGGACCTTATTGTGACGCTTTTAAACGTTGTTTTTACTAGATAAATTCCTCCACCTTACTTTTTACGCCCCTCCTGTTATATGATAATATGAAAGAGGGCATAACTAAAAAGATTTTGTCTTTGACGGTTCTTAAATTATTCAGATATATTTTCAAGTGTACAAACACTGCAGATTGCACTCTATCATCTTTTATAACTCAACGAAGAAGCCAAAATGCGTAAGTCCTTTGTGAAACATCAAGTTTTCATTATTTACAACTGCTGTTTTATATGTAAAGGCATAGTTCAGTATTATCCCAAAGGAACATTAAATGATGTTGTAAATGACTTTATTGATAGGTTGCTAGGTGATCTACACGAACTTCCGACGGTAACTGACGGTTGGCTGTTTTGGACATAGTGCAGAGACTAAGAGAGCGTACGAGTCACGGTTGAGAGGAGATAACTAAAGAATACTCCAATTAAGGTCCAGACAATCAGTTAGTTAGTGCTCGGTTGATGAGGGAACAAGGTGGGTGTTTTGATGAGTGAATTGTGTTTATGTTTTGACATGAAATGGCGTTAATATTTGATTAACTTTCGAACAGTTGAAACAGTTGGAATACGTTTTAGTTCATTTGTAATATAGAAATATTATAGTCCCATGTCCCTCTGTCTCTTAAAACTGCCATCATCAAACCCTTTCTAAAAAAACCCACTTTGGATCCTGATTCCTTTTCCAATTACCATCCTATTTCACATCTTCCTTTTCTTTCTAAAGTGCTGGAAAAGGCAGTGGCTGCCCAACTCCAGCGCCACCTTCAAAGACATTCTCTGTATGACAAATTTCAATCTGGGTTCCGTCCTGCTCATAGTACTGAGACCGCCCTGCTAAGAGTTACAAATGATGTTCTCATGGCTGCTGATACTGGCTGCACCTCCATTCTTGTCCTCCTTGATCTCACTGCTGCATTTGACACTGTGGACCATAACATTCTCCTACATCGTCTGCATGTGGAAGTCGGTCTCGGTGAATCTGTCCTGGATTGGTTTCAATCTTTTCTTTCCAATAGGCTGGAATGTGTCTGCCTTGACAACTCCAAGTCCCAGGCCGTTAGCGTGTCCTGTGGTGTCCCGCAGGGGTCAGTTCTAGGGCCTATGCTTTTCTCTCTTTACTTGCTGCCGTTAGGTAAAATCATTACTCGGCATAACATTTCATTTCACTGTTATGCGGACGATTTGCAACTTTACATTAGAACGGGATCACCTTCCACTTCACCTCCGCTTATTGCACTAACGTCCTGCCTGGAGGAGATTAAGTCTTGGATGACCCATAACTTTCTTCAGTTGAACTGTTCCAAAACCGAGGCCATACTGATTTGATCACCTCATCAGGTTCAATCTTCAACTCTGACGAGTATTTCATTCTCTAGACAAGACATTCCCATTTCCTCCGTTGTTACAAACCTTGGCGTCCGAAGGTTTGTAACCCTTTAGAGCAAGGAGAGTTCCAGAAAAAGCTAATGAGAATGTGATTCTCATATTTGAAAATCACATTAAGCACCTGTTTAAAACCTGTTTTTTTCATCTTCGCAATATTTCCAAAATTCGTTCATCTCTCTCCCGTTCTGATACTGAGACCCTCATCCACGCCTTTGTCTCCTCCAGGCTCGACTACTGTAACTCCCTGTTCATCGGAGTCCACCAAAAACACCTTCAGAGGCTTCAGTACATTCAAAACAGTGCTGCCAGGATCCTAGTGAGAGCTCGTAAATTTGATCACATCACACCAACTCTTTACGAGCTTCACTGGCTTCATGTAACTTATAGGATTCAGTATAAAATTGCACTTATCACCCATCACTGTCTACATGGAACCTCACCGGATTACCTGAAGGACCTCCTTACTTCACATTCAACTTCTAGACCCCTACGATCCCAATCCAGCAATCTTCTCCACCTTCCTCGATCAAGACTAAGGACTATGGGTGATCGAGCATTTGCTGTGGCTACTCCTCGTCTTTGGAACTCTCTCCCGACTATTTGAGAGCCCTGCAATCATTGTCCGATTTTAAAACTGGCTTGAAAACTTTCCTCTTTAGACAAGCCTTCTCCACTTTTATTTGACAGTCTTTTTTAATTGTTTTTGATTGTTGATTTTATGTTTTTAGATGAACCATGTAGCACTTTGAGATTTTTATTAATGAAAAGTGGCTTATAAATTAAATTTATTATTATTATTATTATTATTATTATTATTATTATTATTATTATTATTATTATTATTAATTAAATACATGTATTGTAAATTTAATGTTACATAAAGTAAGGTTTATAGGTTAAGGTAAAAGGTTAGAGCCACTAAGAGTTACTAATGGTATTTTATTTGTATGTTTGTAGCTCTTACGGTGTGTTCATGTACAAAGGCTGTTGAATAAAGAAATGTGAACCATCAGTTAGAGAGACCATCTTTTCAACCGGGACGCTACAGATGTTGTTCTGCTATTATCCTACTTTCTTCAGTTGCTGATGACTGTGGACTGGAAGGATCTCCTGTAATCATCCAGGCTTTACTTTTCTGATCTATATGGTTTTATATTTGTCTTGACTCAATAGCTAAAAAGTGCCCAGGTCTTGTGGCTGCCAAATAAGCCCTTCTGCAGAACAGAAGGTGGTCTCTAATGTCCATCAGATTGAGATGAATTGATAAGACACCTTACAGACACTTACAGAGGTTGGGTCTTGTTGGACCCAAAAGTCCAACAAGACTGGAAGGAGCTGAAAGGGAAGAGGAAAGTCTGTCCCACTCTGCCTAGGCCATTTGACCTCGCATAAGCAAAGATAATAAGCTTTGTTGTGTAACCAGATTATTATTATTATACCTACAGGTACATTCTGTCCCTGAGCTGATCCAGACAATTTCTGTGGAATGTTTTTTCAACCCAACAAAAAGGCCATTTCTCTGTCTGTTTTCTTCTTGTCAGTGCTGGATATTCAGCAGTTTCTCTTGTTGGAATTTCAAACTGAATCAAAAACTTTGTTTTAATGCTGAATTAATATGGTGAATTAAAAACCAGGCAGTTCAATTTTACATAGGTGATGTAACTTGTCTGTTGATATATTTAGGCACAGCTTCTTGGTTTTCTGTACCACCCCGTTCAGTCCATTGTGGCCAGCAGTCCATCGTTTTGGGCTTGTCTTTGCCCTGTCTCAGCACTATAAGCACACAGAGGTTGCCCCACAGCGGTGTCAAGTTTACCTAGATAACCATTAGGAAGAATAGAACCTCCTATGTCTTTCTTTACCCTTTAGAGCAAGGAGAGTTCCAGAAAAAGCTAATGAGAATCATCTGGTAGGAGATGCCAAAGTTTCAGAGTGTACTGACATATTTTTTGCTACATTTAGACCTAGCAGGGAAAGATAATTAATTTAAAGAGCATTAATTACAAATGAGTTTAAGCTAGGCTAATTCCCAGACTCGCTTCAGTCAACTAAAGTAAAATCTGTCATATCTTGGGTTTTGGATTTTATTTGTTTCTGTGTTTCTTAGTTCCTCTTTTATTTAGATCAGTTATGTTTTGGTTTTACTTTTAGGTGTTTCTAGTTATGTTTATTTTCCTCTAGTTATTCTTAGTTACTCTAGTTTAATAATTTTTTGTGTCTATTATTATTTAGTGTTAGATTTATTTTCTAGTCTCCTGTGCACTTTCCCTTGACCCCTGTGTCTCTATCTCACCTTCTCTCTCCTTCTCCATAATCTGCCTTCTCCCCCTCCGCTCACACCTGCTATCAGTTAGCCCAGGTCTTTTGTTCAACGGTCAACATCCCCAGTATTTAAGCCTCTGATTTTCACTCACTCCCACCGGATCCTTTTGTCTACTCCTGTCACATCCCTGTGCTTCCCCATGCTTCCATGTGTTCTCCTTGTGTTCTCCTTATGTTTCATTATGTCTCCCTTTGGGTTTATTTGTATTTTGCCCCAACTCCAGTGATTTTTGTGTGTCTTGGCTGATCATTTTTTATTGATATTGAAATATTATCCTGGCTCCCAGCTCTTGTCTGCATTTTGGTCTGTCCTCTAACACACAAATGTCATTGTAATGAGATGACATTTTATGACAAGAAAGTGTCATCTCATTTTAATTAATATACTGTTAACAGCCTCTACTGGTAGCCAGCAGGACAGGAATTGGCTATGATAATCTGTTTCACTTGAATACTTCTGATGCTGTTTTTGTTTCTCTAATGTTCTCAGGTTTCCTGTCCTGGAGTTCATCTGTCAGTCAAAGATGACGTTTATCTCAACATGTTCTTTATGGATCAGTTCCGTCAGTCTCTGTGTGTCCCTGCAGTCTTTCCTTTGTTGTTCCACGAGGAGATTACATTTGAAAAGGCAAATATATACATTTCTTATTCATTTAAGGATAGAAACATAACTGAGATTAGACATGATCACAGATCTCATTTATTACACAGACCATGATGAGAAACTATCATATCTAACTTAAATTTCCTACAACACACCAGTTATCTTCTAGATAACTAGTATGTTCAGAAACATCTATCATTGTTTTCCCACAGATTTTTAGGCATGCAGTTGATCCTGGAGAAATAGCTGTACTGCTTGAGTGTAAGTGACTCCTATTGTTCTAGTTTCTGTGTAATGAATTGTATAAATAGCTAATTTTGTTGTATTTAGATTTACTCCACAGTTAAGATGCCTAACAAGGCTTACCTGCTGATGGTGAAACTGAGATAAACAAAAAACATAAAAATAACTGAGGGAATGAAGAACAAGCCTTAAATATTCCGTTTTGCAGATTGAATTAATACAAACTGGATAATAAATAAATGTGCACGAAGGTTGGCTAATTGTGCATTTATAGTTAACAATGGTAATCTCTGCACTGCTTCACAGATGAAACTGTCAGAATAGAACTGGTGCAACTGATTCCTCCAGGTAGGTAGCAGCTAACATATATATGACATATGGAAGACACCTGTATTCTGGTATAGCACACGCATTAATTATCTTGGGCTTAAATACATAGCTGAGTGGCTCCTTAAGTATGAACCATGCAGACCCTTCAGTTCGTCAGAGACCTGCTGACTCAGTGTTCAAAGGACCAGAACTAAACAAGGGAGACAGCATTTAGTTTCTCTGCTGCTCAGATCTGGAACTCCAGCTGTTGAGAAACGATTGCTTCCTGGAGGCATGGATTGTGTTGAGTTTTTAAATTTTACCCAATTGCTAATTTTACACCATTTAGCTTCTCAGAAATTGTCTGTGCTGTAAACTACTGTCCTCCACTGTGAAGAGAGAAGAGCTGATTGGAATGAGGCGGCTGAGGCATATTTTTCTATGCTGCATATTTGGAAGTGTGACAAACATGAACTGAATGGCTTCCTTCACTGCCATTGCTAAAACCACTGCCAGACTACAATTCTAAAACACAGCAGAAAACTCAACGTCATTGTTCAAATCTTCTCTTCTGATTGGCCTTGTTGAAAATCTACTGGAGACAATCTGGGTGAAGGGGAGAAAGACCAGACGGAACTGGAAGCGAGAATTTGTTTGAGAAAATTGTGCAATTATGACTATGAAAAACCTGAGAAATTTCATAGACATTTCAATTTTACAGAAATTACAAATGAAACTTCAATCTAAAGTTTTACTTCATATAAAAATTTGTATTATGATATACTTTTATGCTTTGTTGCTTTATTTTTGTTTTTCCTTCCATTTCCTTTAAAGCCTTCTACCTTTTTGATTTTCTTTTGTGTAGAGACACTACTGTTTTTCATTGACCTTTTCAAAGAAAGATGCGCAGTACCAGGTTGCAACATAAAATGATAATTTTTCTTTGCAGTAACCTGTCTTTAGACAGGTTGACGGTAATAAACTTTGTCCATCTTTTTCAGAGAAAAAGAAGTCTTTACTTAACTCAAAGCATGATGACGCAAGGTTGACGTTAGTCATTTTCAGATCATGTTAATTTTGTAGCTGGAGACATTTTGGCGTTTTTTGAAGAAGATGCTCGTAGTTTCTTGTTTCCAGAGCCCAAGCTAGTTCCGTCCTTCTCTGGAGTGGACCGAGAAGTACTGATGACGAGAGCCGCTCACTTCTTTGTAAGCAACCCAGTTAATCTTTTTTGAAGCTGTACAACAATTGTTCCATATCTGATCTGGTGAAAGTAAATTTGTACTACTTTCTTTTCTCCAGAGTATTGCTCCTCGGTTAGAGTTTTCTACCAAAACTACAATTTCTGAGTGCCCACCTGATACAAAGGTCACCACTTACTGTAACACTCCACTGGTAAGAAGAGATACTGTAAAATTTAAACGCATGGAGAAGATCAAATCACTAGGAAGTTCAAAACAAATGTTTGAAAGTCTGTGAGACACAGAGAACCAAACAGATCAGTACATGACATTCCTCTTTGATACATCTGGGTCTTTTGTAGATCATCCTAAGACTTGCCCTAAAATCATCTTCAAGAGCTCTGTCATACGGAGCCCTGTAAAAGTTTAATTTAACCCCTTTAATGTTTTCATATTTTGTTAAACACAAACTTCCTCTATTTCTTTGGGTTTTGCAAAGTAGTTCATAACAATGAACTACCATGCATGGTACCAAGCACCATACAAAGTAGTTCATAAGAGAGAAAATGCCTATTTTTAAACTTTTATTTTTAACATAAAGTGTTGCATATAATTTGTTATCGGACCCCTCTATGTAAATACTTAACATAATAAACCAAAGTTCGTAGCTTCAGCTTGGGTATGTCTCTATCAGCTTTGCATTTTTGCCAGTTCTTATTTGCAAAGAAAAATAGCTTCATATATAATCAGTTTATAAGTCTTGCCACATATTTTCCTACTGAAAATATGTGGCAAGACACATATGGCCAAGTCAGGGCTTTGACTTGGCTATTCTAACACATGAATATATAATTTAAACTATCCTCACATCATGCCATTGCCACTACCATGTAATAATGGTGTGTTGACAGTGTTGTGTAGTGTTGATTTTCTGCCACAGAGCGTATTTTGCACTCTTAGCAAAAAGTACAGTTTTGGTCTTGGTATGTGTATTACTTACATAGTTGTGAGGCATTCCCTCATTTGTTTCCAGTGGCCAGGGAAAAGAAGAAACAAGAGGCACGCCACGTCTACTCCTCATTGGACCGCTGAGGGAGAGAGAAGTGTCAGGATGGCCTCACCTCTGTCGTACATTCCCAGATCCCAGTCCCTGTCTCCACTGAGAGATGGGTACATCCCCAGTTTGGCCCTACTCAATATGGGCTCTGCGCCTTGCAACCCCACTGACTGGGAGACCACCAGCTCTCAGCCTGTAAGCACACATAACAGCTATTGCTGACTGTTGAGAAAAGCATAATCATGAATTAACCATCATTTTCAGGCAGAAGGGGGCAGAGAAGAGCTGTGTAGGGCATCTCCATGCAGCATATCCTTCTCCTTCACTCACAAGCATTTTTCTCTTGTTAGTCTTGTTTAGTCTAGATATACTATGGACATTCTTCTTTCAATAGGCACTTCCTGAGCCTATCGAAGGCACAGATAGTAGAATACTTTCTGGATTTGTCCCATCACAACAGATTAGCATTGTACTAATCTGTTTCAGATATTGGAATGAAAGGCAAAGCATACATTAGAAAGCGGTTTAAATAAAAAATCCTCAACACACTTAATGAAGATTGTTAGTGATGTTTAATACCAGCAGTTTTCTTACTGATCCAATGCTGAGTAAAACTTAAGCTGGTGTTGGCAATATTGACCTGACACAATACTTTGTTCAAAAACACCTAATGTGCCTGGTAGATTTAAAAATAGTGGTGTAATTACAATCTTGGCTTCATTAAGACCACAAAATATCACTTGTGTCATCACTTGTATTCAGTTTTAACTCAAGTACATTGAGGTAGCAGCCTCACTTACTATAGCCAGGTCATTCCAACAGCAGTCATACAAAATATGTTAAAATGGTGTTGAAAACTAAGAAAAATGTTTGTAAAGTAATAACTACAGAAATAAATCCTTGTTTAATTATTATGAACTACTATAAAATTAAAGCTGAAATAGCTCCATGTGTGACTTTTACAATTTGCCATTTTGTATATCTGAGTGAGTGATTCATAGACATGATAATATATGTATTGATATATACAATATAATCTGTAATAATAGATTATGTTATGCTGCATTTAGGTGTTATGTCCCTACTCATTACACACTTACCAGATGGAAGAAACAGTAGTTCCTATCAACCCTTTCTCATTTAGGCAAAATCTTAATAATTTAGCTTTCTAATGTGACATAATCTCAAATGACTGAAGTATGAAAACATCCATGTTAGGAGTCAGTGTGTCTGTGGTTGTTTTACTCTGTGTTACCTGCTGATCTGTCCAAGGTGTACTGCACATTATCCCAAAATGTCCACGTTGATATTTTGGGTGGATTCTTTGCTGCTCTTGTTTGAAAGTCTTCACCACTCTGCTTTCAGATGCACTCACAACCACCTGTTGACAATGTTCCTAGATTTATACTAGTGGCTCACTCCTCAGGACAAGTCTGTCCCGGTCCTTGGCAGACAATTCTTTCAGCAACAATATTTTTAGCATTACCTTCCTGCACTTACCATTTTTCTGCAAAGAAATAATAGATGCTCATGGTTTTTCCACTACAAAAATACAATATCTTCCCAAGTATTTTTGTCTAGTTTCTAATGCAAATATCTTAGCACACTTGAAATAGGACAAAACTAACTTAAGGTAAACTTTTCAGCAAGAAATATCAGCCTGTTTCAAGTCAACAATTTTACTGATGAAAAAGAACAAGTTATACTGGTAGTTTGTTTCACTTATAACATGGGGAAATGTTTTGTTTTAAGTGAAAAAATCTGCCAGTGTAATTCATACTTTTTAAAAATCCATTATGTACCTAAAACCAGATCCTATTTCTTGTTGAAAAGTCACTTATAAGCTACTTTTGTCTTATTTCAAGTTTACTATTTCCACTAGAAACTAGACCAAAAGTACTTGGGAAGATTTTGTTTTTGCAGTGTCCAAGAAAGCCATTGCAAATGAAACAACCTTTGCTGCATACATCACATGCTTTTGTTCATAGTAAGTAAGTAAATATATATTTAACATCAAATGTCAAACCTCTTCACCCATTCTTTGTGTTTTGTTGTGGCACTTGTTTCTTAAGAGACTGGTCGATTTATGAAACATTAGTGCGGGCAATTGATAAGCATCTGAATGCATCAGCTGTTTATGTGGATTACACGTTGTCATTGACTGAGTGTCCTGTCTGTCCCAGATGATGTCCTCTTGGCTAGGGGCTAGTGTGTCTGCCTCACCCAAATGCTCTACAATGTTTACCAGCCGCTCTTCTTCACCTTTGACCAGGTCTTTGTCCACAGGTAGAAACTCTTGTGCAAACCTGTTGTTGCTGATGTTAATCACTTTTTACAACTAGATAACTAATCTCTCCAGCTCCAGTTATAGTTATTCTATAACTGAGTTTGGTCAGTTTCTTTTGATAACTGACCTAACTCATTTATCATAAAGCATCTCCTTGTTTGATGCAATCAGTGTTCTGTAACCCAGTTCTCCAGCTAAAGATTATTTTCTGTCTTTTATTTGATTTTGCAGTGAGCCATTCCTCTGCTTCCAGAAGATTTATGTCCAGGAGCTTGGTGAGAACTAACATTTTCTCTTGTCAGTGTTGGTGAACATGAATTATGGGAGTGTTGTATAATAAAAACTTACAATGTGACTCTGATGAGGGATCAGCACACAGTCATGAGAACATTACGCTTCTATTTCTTGCACTCTTGCCCTTCCAGTTTATGGTGTGTTTTATAGTTTTTTTTATGACTGGACCTGTTCATCTCATGTTTTTGTTTTGTTCATCCTCTATCTGGGAGATATCGTCCAGATGGAACCATGACTTATTCAAATGAACCAAGATGTTAAAATATGTTGAACTGACGAGTTAAACTAATGTGCCAATACTGTAGCACATTATTATTATCTTTTTTATAACGTGCAACCTTTCGGATTTAGGTAATGTAGTCAAAAAAATTTATTCCTATATCCATGCATGAACTTACTTGGACAACCCCCCCAAACAAAAACAAAATAAAATGCACATCATACCAAACTAATGCTATGTAGTTCCTGTGGTTCTGTAACTAGCTCCAACAGAACTTTGACCACAGCTCCACTGTTTCTTGCTTTTTTATTGCCACCCATTCTTCAGAGAGATTTGGTGCTTGCAGGGCTGTGGAATCATGGTCATTATGCTCCAAAAGTTGAAATATGTCTTCCTGGAGCTGCTTATGTTTCTTCATACTTAGCAGCTCTGTGAGTGCAGCTCTGTGATGTTCGCTGGTCCACTGGAGTAGATGATTGTCATAATCTTGGGTTGTTTAGTTAGGTTTTGTTTTTGTTTCTGTGTTTCTTAGGTTATCTTTTATTTAGACCAAGCTATGTTTTTGTTTTACTTTGGTTCAGTTCTTCCTTAGTTATTTTAGTTTCATCATTGTTCTGTGTTATTTGTTATTTTCGATTAGATTAGTCTTGTTTCGGTTTTACTTTAGTTCAGCCCTTCTTGGTGTTTCTAGTTATGTTTTTTCTAGTTACTCTCGTTTAATTATTCCTTGTGTCTATTATTCCTTAGTGTTAGATTTATTTTCTAGTCTCCTGTATACCTTCCCTCGCTTCTTGTGTCTCACTCTCTTTTTCTCTGTCTTTCCTCAGGCATTTCTTCTCTCTCCCTCCTGCAATCAGTTTACCAATCTGCTTGGTCCTTTGTTTCAGCATTCAGCCTCCGAGTACTTAAGCTTCTTGCTGGGTCCTTCCATTGTTACCCCGTTCTGCTCCCCCTTGTGTCTCATTGTGGTTTCCGGTTTGTGTTCCATTAGACTGCATTTTGCATTGGACTCTGACTTTCTGTGGGATTTTTGCAAGTTGTTCATCATATTTTCATTAAATACTTTTTCTTTATCAATTCCACTTCTCTGCCATTCTGTATTTGGGTCCTGAACCAGCCACCACCAATCATGACAGAGATGCTGTTTGAAGATTGTCCAAGGCCTTTGTTCATACAGTGATGTAAATCTATCTGCAGTTTCTTGTAAAACGGGGAGGAACCGCACAGAATCTGCAAATGGAAACAAATCTGGCTGGGGTCAACCAGGGAAGAACCCATTAAAGCCACGCCTGCAGAATTAGGGGCTGTAGTAGTGCTGGCGTCTTAGTAGCAGCTTAAATTATCTTTTTAAGTAATTGTGGAACTTGGAAGATCTGGAAAGAAGTTGCTATTTAGTTTTTTAGGTGGTGGAAAATTAGACTGAGCTTTTGCTTAATACATCTCCAGCAGAACAGACACCTGTTCTGTAATTACATGAGGGAGCCAGGAAAAAATGCTGCCTAAACAGCTGATGACCTCATGGCAGTATCCACACTTCAGTGCCTTTGTGAGCCATCTTTCTTGCTGACAAAATATCCTGAATCTATTGGAAAGCAGAGGTTTTATTGATTCCCACTGCCATGGACTTAAACTTGGACTTGTTGCAGAGACTGGTTTTTTTGAGCTATCTTTATTGATACTTTATTTTTCAGTTAAAATGATTTTTTTTTTCATGCTGTAATTTTTTGTTCTTGCTTCAGCAGGTCAGAGGAACATCTGAGTTTGATTCCAGGTATTTAGGAGCGCATGAGTCCTTTGACCCTGTGCCCTTACCACTGCATCTGTCCTACAGAGAACTGCCCCACCACAGCAGGTTTGTCTTTCAGTTACAATTACAGCTCAAAAATTTGAATATTGGGAAAAAGCTTAGTATTTTTTGTCACTTGTTTTAAAAAGTAAAAGTTGTATTATGTAGACTCATACAGTGTAATATTTCAAGACTTGTGTTTGCCATTTTTATGGCTTAAAAATGATAACCCAAAATTTATTGTCACAGAAAACTAGAATATTACATGAAATCAACAAATAAATGAACATCTACATGAGATTGATTGACAGTGCTAAGACACTCCTCCTGGCTCTGATTGGTTGGAAGAGGAGAATCTCTGCAGATGACAATAGAACCACTGGATCCTGGGGAGCAGCATTTTTTATTTTTCACAATTTGTCTCATATTATGCTGCCAGGACATAGCGACAGTTTTAACAAATATTTAAAAGAAATTCTAACAGTTACAGCAGCATCAATGGACAATTGGAAGATTAGTGATTAGTGTAGAGTTTCACTTTTGCTTTTCAAAATATTCAGATTTTCTGAGCTGTGTGTATAGTCTGGTTCTTAAAGTGTAACGAACTCCCTGTGAAATCACCCCAAGCAAATTTTGAAAAATGTCAACAAAGTGAACAGAGCCAAGAGGCAAGTTACAAATCTAGTGACTTCTTTCTGTTTTGTGAAAGACTTTTGTAGTGACATCTCTCTGCTGTTTCCCAACGAGCAGTGAGCACCTCTTGCTTCCTAAGCACTGCAGTCAGCGTGATAATCGTCCATCTGCAGTATGCCATCGCCAATAGTCAGAGAAGAGGAGATCAATTTCACTTTGTCAGGGGCGCAATTACATATTATGCAGGTGGATGCGAAAACATAAATCGGCGTCTTCCCCCCACCCCCTCCAAAAAAGGAAGGTACATAAGGGTGAAAGAGCTAGAAAACATACGGTCGCTCTATCAGTATGAGCGATCGTATGTTCCCCCCCCCCCACCAAACGAAGACACGTGAAAGGTAAAACTCGCTGCATTTACATTTACATGTGCGCGAGGTGAAGGAGCGTAAGGGCGCGGTGAAGTGGAGGCATCATCGGGGCACTGCCCCCTCCGGACCGGGTTTTGACGCCCCCTCTGGTGCAGCGCCCCTATGCGCTGCATGCGCTGCATACCCACTTTTTTGCGCCACTGCACTTTGTGTCCACAATGCAAATAAATCACACATTTATAAAGCTGAATATTGTCAATGCTTGTAGAAGACACATCTGGGTTGCTATTTCAACTCCTGACTCACCTCCAGGTGGGGCTGAGTGACGAAAAGCTGTACAATAAAAAAAAAAAAAAAAAAAAAAAAAACTTACACAAAAATGTCAAAATGTACACATAAAAATAAAAAATTAACCCTAAATACCTATTTGGACAGCTTAGCAAAAAAAGGTTTGGGAGTTACTTACACTTTAAACTTTGTGGGATTATATAACCACCGTTGAATTTATTGCCTGTCTGCGTTCAGTTCTCACAGCTCATGGGAAGAACTCCATGAGCGTGTTCAAGGTCTTCTAACAACACCAAAAGCTGTACAGCGACTTGCTTATGTAAGTAGTGATATATGATCTCAATTGTTATTTGAAGTCAAGAAGCAGTCAGTTCAGTCTTAAAGATCTGCTTGTATTCTGTTGGCTTCTTCTTTTGTATTATATCTAAAAATCAAATCTTTTATATTAAAGGATTGGAATAGTTGTAGGAACCCATTCAGCATCACAGAGGGATGATATGAGAGATTAAGAAAAATGTTTCTCATTTGCCAGGAGGCCACAGTGTCTGAGGCAGATGAAGTTTTAGCGCGGAGGTTCATTTCTGCAGGTCCACAGACCTGAGTCTGACTCTGGAGAGCTCAAATGATGCTGATCTATCACTGTGAGTTTTGTTACCTATGCTTCAAAATAAATATCGGAAGATTAATGACGTGGTTCTAGTTAGGCAATGTTTGTATAATAAAACAAATTGTAATCATAAATTGTCTTTAAAAATATGGGAGTTAGGACTAGATTTTATTCTCTCTCAACATTATTTTGCCCTGGTAAGGTGGCCTTCAACATTATGTACCAAATAAAGATCTAAAACATTTAAGAATAGTATTTGCAGACAGAGTAATAGTCCAGTTCTTCATTAAAGTCAACAAAATTAATGTCAGATATTCCCAACTGTAGGTTTTGCATAACAGAGGCTGTTAGTATTCTGTTATAGATAGCTTTCTCTAACTATAATAAGAGAAAGCTACTAATCCTGAGCAACAAGACTATCTGCTGCTCAAGATAGTCTTGACAGTAGCTGACCAATCTTATAAGACTAGTCAGATAATCTAAAGCAAAAGAAGGGTTATAAAAATTTTGATAATACATATAAATGCCAATATCGCAGTGTACTATGAACTTACTTCACAAAGAAGTGTGAAACATTGTAGGCCTATGAAGATGGAAGATCAGCCATCTTAAAAAGTTAGCACAGAATAAAGAAAATACAAATAGGCAAGGTCTTTTTTGGTCTGATACTGATGAAGCACATGCAAGTCTTGCACATGAGCTTCTGCTGACAATTCATCTTGAGCTTTTTGCAGGCGTCAAAGGTGGTTGGCAGGATTGTCTCCATATGTCTTGTTTTTTCAGATTCAGTTAAACACAAAGTTGGAGTGACATTTTTATTACCCACTTTCTTTGCGGTTGACATCATCTGGATGGAGATCCTCTAACGGTTCTGGAACTTATCTGCAGTGGCTCAGGTGGATCCATCTGGCTCTTTCAAGGATTCAAAGATTTACTGTCATACCAACTTTGCTTGTTTGTGGTACAAAATTTGGACTCAGGTCCTAGATTAAGAAATCTAATAAATAAAGTGATATATTTTATATATGTGTGTGTGTGTATGTGTGTGTGTGTGTGTGCAAATAATCTAAAAAGTGAGGCGAAACTGAATTAATTGCAGATTCCTCCTCCTACATCATGGAGGAGGAATCTGGGTGGTGGAAAGGCTGCTCCCCACAGTCTTTTGTGCAAGCCTTTTAACCACCTTCTGCAGAACCATCCTCTTGGCAGCAGTGCAGATGCTGTGCCACATGGTGGTGCAGGTGCAGAGAAAGGTCTCCACCACACAGCGATAGAAGCTCCTCAGGACTGAGATTCCAAGTTCAACTTTCTGCAGCTTCCTTAGGAAGTACAGACACTGGTGGGCCTTCCTAACAAGACATGAGATGTTGGAAATCCAGATGAGACTGCTGGATATATGCACACCCTTATGTGGAGATCCTGTAGCTGGAGACCACCTGAACAGACGCACCCCCAATGTACAGGGGCTGCAGAGGATCTTCTTCCCATTGATACAGAAGATATTTTCTTGCATCATGAACAGTTGAACATAGGATGTAGAGATGTGAATCTACAGTTTGTCCATTTTCACTTCTTTCGCTGAGATAAATTTTTTTGACATCTCAGCTTCAGCTCTCATGAAACAAGATTTAGACCAGTTTCCAGATTCAAACAGCCATATCTCCTACTTATCAGTATTTCGGAGCTGTCCAACATCAAATAAGGCTGAAAATTGAATGCAAAGCTACGAATTCACAGGCTGTCATTTTTTTTTCTTTGTTTTTTTTTTGTGTGGCCTCACACATGCTGCTCTAATGAAACATAAGATTTAGAACTGGTTCCAGTTAAAAACAACCAAATCTGCTGCTTCACAACAATTAGGAACTATCCAACATCTAATATGAATGAAAATTGAATGTAGTGCTGCAAAATCACAAATAGTCCATTTATGACTTCTTTCGCTGAGATAAAGCGTTTTTGGCTTCTGGCTTGCTGATCACTTGAAACTTAAGCAT